TCCACGGTAATAGCTTCCATCCAGACCAGCACCTTCTGCCGGGGTTGCCGGGCTCGGTGCTCAGGTGGCACTAAGAGGGACCTGAGCAGAGGTGAGCCGGCGCGCGGCCGGGACTCTTCTTCTAAACAGATTTCTCATTTTTTTGTTTTTGCCCCCCTACAGAATCTCAGAACCTGCCAAAGCAGCCCCCGCTGATGCTCGCCCTGGGCCAAGCCTCGGAGTGTTTGCGGCTCATGGCTCGCGTGGGCTTGGGCTCCTGCTCCTTTGCCAGAGTAGACGACTATTTGCACTAGCCGCCGGAGCCGGATGGAGTCGACATCGTTGAGTGCTGCCCTTCACCCTCCGCTGCTGCCACTCTACACCACCACCTCGTTCGATAGCCTGACCTCCCTGCCACCAACACCCCCTCCAGCGCGCGCGCACACACGCTGCCTGCGAAAGGATTGAGCGAGTCCCTCACCGTGTGGCTATTCCTGACCCCAGGAACGACCGGGGCAGGGCTCACCTGCCTCCCCGCCGTCGCTGCGGCCCCAGCGGCACTCGGTATTTTCGCTGGTTATTCTAATGTAGCGCCTTCCGACGTTAGGGATTTCTCTTTATTTTGATTTGAGTTGTTTCTCATGGATCCACCGATATTTTATCTGGAGAGTTTTGCTGAGCTGGTTTCTGCTGATTTACTGAGGAAGCTCGTCAAGTTGGTGACGGCTTGTTCTTTTCTTCCCTTCTCCCTCCATCGTGCACATGCAGCAGCATCTTCTGTGCTAGTTATCTGAACTCTTCTCGCAGTGGCAGTTCAGAGGGATTTATTTTTTTTTTTATTTTATTTTATTTGAATCCTGTTTATTAAAAAGGTCTCTTCCACCTCCAAAAAAGTCACTGATGTATTTATTGCCCACAGACTCAGTCCCAGCCCATACACATCCTACAAAACCTCAGGAGACCTGGTGTGGTGGGTCCCGTCACGCGCTGACGGCAAGGATTGGAGGAGCTTGGTCCTTCGCGGCGTGTGCCTCTCTTAAGAGCACGAGGCTCTCAGACGCTTCTCTTTGTGAGTGGGAAGAGCAGAAGGCTTGATGTTGCCTGTGTTAGTGGCTGCGCTGGAGAAGCATCTCACAGCCTTGAGAAATAGGTTAAATCCAGCAGCTAGACACAGACGTGAAGACATCTACCGCTGCTTTCGTGGAAGCAGGTCGTGTTGGCCTGCGAGAAACATCCATGGGTGCTGCCCGGCCGGGCTGTCAGTGTTAAACCTCAAATGCCCCTTTTTCTCCCTATGGGAGGGCTCTGTCACCAAGGCTCAAAAATAATCGTGTTTACTGATCCCCTCCACGTAACACTGCTGAATTTTGGAAGTTCGCTCGTGTGAACCCTTTGCAGGGTTGCAGGTTCGGCTCAGTACTAGCTTTGGGAGGTCTGAGTCTCTCGGAAGGGAGCAGCAATGTTTCTTTGAAGATAACTGAGAAAATTATTTTAGTTTCAGTCCCAAAAGCAACCAGTGAGGAGCTATGGTGGGTGAGTAACCTCCAAGTCAGGTGGATTAATGCGTCCCCGCTGTTGGGGGCTCTAAGCTTTGGGCATTCCAGCCATCTGCCTGGAAGTGTTTCTGAGCGGGTTCTTACTGTACTGCTCTTCATGGCTTTTTTCTTTTCTTTTTTCATTTTTTCTTTTGGAAGGTCAATGAAAGATGAACAGGTCGTGCGAAGTTTGCCCTTAAAAAGAGGTCAGCCCGTACGAGACCTTCCAGCAGCTTGGTGTGCAACCTCTGCGCTGTAGCCCAGAGTTTTAAGGATTTTCTGCGTTTGCAGGCTTGATTCATGAGGTCTGAAATCCAGGTAGAGCAGGGGGGCAAATATCCCTGACGCTGCAGAAGGTAACTCTGGCAGTGAATGTGCAGGTGGTGTCGGAGGTGCTTGGAAGCAGCTGCTGCTGCCTCCTGGTGAAGGCAGGCAAGATGTAGGGCTGAGAAAACAGACACCACGAGGTTTAGAGATTGTTTTACTGGGTCAGTTTGGGTCACTGAAAGAAGCAGAGCGAGCTCTGCGTCCCGATGCCTTTTCTTCTAGGCAGGCAGAAGCAGAGGACCACGCTAAGCAGAGCTTGACTTGCAGCTCTGGGGCTTCTCTTTTGGTTTTGGGGAACAGCTCATGGACCTGAGAGCTTATCTGATCTTCCACTCTGTGAGTACCCCAGCCCATCCTTATAGCAGCACCATCCTTATCTCTTTCTGAGTTTGGTTTTTGTTTTGCTCTTTCTTTGAGGTTCCTTTAAGCCAAGTCATATTAATGCCCCGCTTGGTCTCTCAGCAAAGCTGTGCCCCCTATCCTGTGGAGCGCGTATTCTGGTTTGTTTTCCCTTTTGCTACAAAAAAACCCAATCGGTGCTCCTAGATACCTGGTTATTCTGGCGCCAGGAGATGATGGGATGGTCTCTCTGGCTTTTCATGGAGACCCTCCCTCTGGTAGAAACCATCGCGCTGTTGTGTCGTGGCCACGCTCTTAATGATGATTAATTGTGAGTCGCTCTCTGCCGCTGACGATGTGCATCACGTAGGGCCAGTAGGTCCTTGCAGACCAGGCACCAGTGGTGTTTCCTACTTCTTGCCCTCCAACCCACAGTCCTGCCTTGAGTTCTTCTTCCCTTTCCACTGGGCCCAGTTCCTGCTTGGCCCCACAGCTCTACCCAGCTGCTGCCAGCTTCTCGCCAGCTCTTGAATCCTCTGTCCTGATTCTGGTTTTTGAGGAGCGCGCAGACTTTTCTGGCCTGTCCCACACCTCTTACTTGTTTGGGCTTTTTCCTTTTTTAGTTTCACTCCTTCTTGCGGTTTCTGCTCAGCTTCTGACTGACGTGGCCACGGCTCAGTGTGGGAAGATCAGGGTGTTTGCGGTGCATCGTGGGGCGTAGACTCCAACCTACCGCTGCCTCCTAGATGACGTTTGTGACTTGGTTTCCCCAGGTTATTTTTCAAAGCTTTTGAATGTCCTTGGCTGACATGAACCTCCTTGATGTCAGCTGAGACTTGGTTTGAGTTTTAAAGAGCAAACAGAGCTAAAGTGAGTTGAGATCTTCAACTTTGAACGTAGTTGTTGCACCTAACCAGTTTAAAAATCACTTTTATGAAAAGCAATTATTTGGGATTTGTTATTCCAAGCGCCTCGTGCTTTGCTCAGAACCACCCCAGCTGAGGCTCTGCGTCGTCTGGGCAGTCCCTCACGGTGTCGCTTTGCCCAGGGGTCCTCGTGGTGGGATGGCACGCGCTGGGAACCGCTGGCTTTACCCTCCCCTAGGCGAGGGTGCTGAGGTCTGTGTGGTAACGCTGACGGCGTTGGGTGTAGGACTCCATCGCATGGGGCTGGCACCTGGGCTGACTTCAGATCCTGGGAGGAGGTTTTCCAAACCACAGCTCTGCTCACAGGCAACGTTTCTCGCTTTCTAGCTGTGGCCTCCTTCCCAGGGTATGGGAGATGCTGCAGCGGTAACAGCTAAACCTCTACCAGCTCTGCTGCGCCTGCACCCTCGGAGGGTCTCAGCTCTTCACCGATCAGTCCAGAGTCCCCGCCAAAGAGCTGGAATTAGGGAGTGGCAAACACCCTCCAGCTACACCGACCACACCTTCCTCAAACCCAGTGTTGCAGCAAGGGCCTCTCAGAAGAATAACATCTGGCAGGGACCTGGCAAAAACTCTTTTTTTAACTGCAGCCCCGCACGTCAGGGGCTTTGAGTTTGTGCCTAACGCGCTGCGTGCGAAGCGGCCCTTTGAGAACAGCGTTTGGGGAGCTCCAGACCTGGAGCCTGAGTGGAAGTGACCTTCAGGGGTTCTGCGGAGGGAGCTTCGTGGAGCTGAATCGCGTCACCGGGCTTTTCACCCCGCAGGCAAGGTGCAGGCTGTCCCCACAAGCAGTGAGTGAGAGCAGGGACGTAGAGAACTTCACAGTGAGATGAAGGATCGAGTCAGGAGTTGGAGGCTTTGGAGCAGCTGGGATTAGTGTTACTTGGAGGTGTAGCCACCTCATACACCTTGTAGTTCAGCCTCTGACCACCTCAGTGGCCTCTGCTGGATGTGTTCCTGTTCGTGGACATCTCTCTTGCCCCAGGGCAGCCAAATCTTGTTCCTCTTGGAACCACCTTGTTCCAGATGATTCCTCTTGCTGCTCCGTGATCCTGTCCTAGCAGGTGTTCCACTGATTCAAGACTTCCAGGGTTGAGCGAGGTCTCAGTGTCGCCGTGCGGGATCCCGTCAGCCCTGACGCTTCTGCTCAACTTCTGGAGTCTGGGTAGGAAAGGAGCCTCTGCGCGTGGCCAGCAGGATGGGGAGGGACCTCCAAAGGGAAGCACCAGGTATGTGGCCTCCGTCTTTGGAAGGAGGTTGCCCAGTGGCCATTCTCCCTCCCCACCAGCCCCCCCACGTGTAGCAGAGTTGTAGCTCGTCGCTCTGGGGCAGGTGGAAGGTGTGTGGTTGTTGGGGCTCCAGCCCGTTTCCACTTCCAATGTCCTGGTGTCACCGTGTTGCCGCCAACCTGACGGGGACACCAGGAGGCGTGACCATGGGTGGGGGTGGAGGAAGGGCCCTGTGGGGAATGTCGTTCCTCTAGGATTTTCCCATCTGCTTCCTTATTCCTTCTGGTTTTTTAGAGTGACATCTCTGCCTGTCCTCAAGCCGTGTCCTTAGTTTTCACGTAGTCTTCTTAAGGCATCTTCGCCATTCTTGAAATAGCTTTGTCCTTGAGGCTCCCTTGAACAACTGGAACAACCGGAGCTCTGGGGATTGAGTTTGTCCTTCCGTAGGCATCAGGGATGACGAACCGTCTCCTTCTCCGGCAAAGCAAACCTTTGGATTGCTGTGGTGCTTCGATACCCTAACGCTTACAGAGCACATGTTGCTTAGGTGCAAGTTCCAGAGTTCCTCCTACCGTTGTGGGGTTGATTGAGAAGGTGACCCATGGTCGCCAGGCTCTACCGCAGCCCAACGCAGTATCGACAAGTTCTCGCCCACGGAGAAGCGGTGTGTGGGCTTCAGCTGCCCCCCAGGGCATGAGGTCCCTCATGCTTCCACGAGGCCCCGTGGAGCTGGGCGCAGCGTGAGAGAAGGAACACGTTCCTTGAAAAGGTGGTCCTGGTCTACCCAGGAGTTCCCATTACAGAAGGAGCAGCTTCGTTCGACCCCTGCCCCGTGTTAGAGCAACCTGAGAGGTGGATCCAGAGGTAGAGAGCTGGTGTTGGGACTCCAGCTGTTTGTGGCTGTCCCCAGGCATTTCTGCAGAAGGGCTGAGACATGTGCTGCTGGGACCCCTCTGCCCCAGAAGGGTGGGTGGCTCTGAGTTGGAGCCAGAAGCTGGCTGGGAGACGGGTCCCATGTGCTGTGCAGGTCAGAGAGCTGGAGGAAACGTCGGTGGGGTGAGGCACAGCAGATCCGGGGAGGTGCTGAGAGCCTGGAGATCTCTTCCCGAAGCAGCATGGACGGCTCTCCACCATCCCTCCCTGCACAAGAGGTGGCAGATAGTGGGTGAGCAAATGAGGAGTGTCCATCCCTCTCCCTGCATCCCACACCGGAGCTCAGAGCCTCCACCCTGAGCTGCAGCAGAACCTGGCAAGCTGAGACTTCATCCAGGCTTGAGGAGAACGTGTCCTGCCAGCTTTTATTTCCGCAAGGGAGCCTCCGTTCCCTCCCGCTCGGCAAGAAGCCGAGTCCCGCGTGGGGTTTACACTCAGCGCCGCAGGAACGTTCCTGGAGGCTGTGCCAACCTCTGCTCCTCGTTGGACTTTCTCTGGTCGCTCCACTTGGGTCCAGGCTCGTGCTGTGACCCCGTCGCTCAGGGGAGGCTTTAGCTGCATCGTTCCTCCGGGCGGGGGCACGACGAGGCTTTGGAGGCTGAGC